ATCACGCCTTTACTGTTACAACTTTTACCGTGCCTATTTCGATGTAGTGGAGTGTGCTCCTTTGAATGGCCTTCATGATAACCCTTCACACTTCACGCTGTCGTTCTCACCGCCTTCACCCTTTTACTGAAAATGTTAATCAGATTCTGCCATATTGATACATAATCCTCCTTCCCTATGATTTATCACAATCTCTCTCTTGCCCAGTTAGATCCGTCTGCTCTCTCCCTGGTTCACGTATTTAACTCAACTCCTGCCACCCCACCTTCGCTACTCGAAGCGTTATCCGCCCACTTCCGCATCTTGGTGACTAATTCGAGGCTCAAGCCTCGAAGTAAGTCTCATCGTCAAGCGTTTGCTACATGGACCACGTCTATGGTACAACAGACCTACTGTCAGCCAACTAGCTCCAGTCTACGCCGCGTCTATCCTATTTATATCCCTAATACCAAGCTTATGACATTCCATAACCTAGTCTCTTGTGCGCCGACCCAGAAAGACTTGACGTTGCGACTTACTCCGAGGCTTGAACCTCGAATTATTCACCCAGACGTAGGGAAGGGCGAATAACGCCTCGAGTAGCACAGATGAAGTGGCAGAGGTCGAGTGCAATGCGAAAGCCATGAAGAGAGCAGACGAATCTTACGGGGCAAGAGAGAGACTTTGATATGACTTAGAGAGGGAGGACTGCGTAACAATATGGCAGACTCTGATCAACATTCCCAGCACAAGAATGAAGGAGGTAATAACGACAGCGTGGAGTGTAAAGGGTTTACATGAATGCTGTCCAAAGAAGCACATTACACTACATCAAAATAAGCACGGTAAAAATTGTAAAAAGAAGGCGTGATAGGAGGATATAGGAAATGTGAATAGCCCAGGGAAACAGGGGAGATACCACAACTGTTTAGCACACGTTTGGTCAAAAAATCAGCTTCACTTGTCTCTTTGACGAGTTGTAATATGGTGCTACGAATGGTGCGACTCACTGACGATGCCGACTACAATTCCGTCGAAATGTTAGGGAATGTACCACGTCCACGGTCCAACTTTGGATATGATCATGCATACAGTGGACTCCGGACTTGGTGCGCTCCTTTAAGTCTTCCTACTAATATGACCAAGTTGCGAAAACAATGTCAAACAACCCCTAGAGCTTATTATGCCTTCTCCGAAACCTAAGAAAGGTTTTTCAAGGAGTAATTTAATCAGAATGGTTTATAAAAATCAAATTTTACAGTTAGAGAAAACCGCCGATGTCTTCTTGTAAGATCGGTCTAGACTCACTTCTTTAAGGTATTCTATACGAAATGAGCAACAACAATATCAACAGCCTTACTTTATTCGAAATCTCGATTATATTGTTGATATATATTTTATCAACCTTTCATTAATCAATTTAAGTATTAATATTTATTAATTTTAATATTTTTCATAACATCTACTTATTATCTCTTATATATGATATTAGTCTTAGTATATTTAGCTGAGGATCAAGGTTATGCGGTTTTGTGTTTGTTCGTAGTATGCCTTAGCCTTATAGTTTGGGTTCGAACTCGTTTTCGCAATTTGGTGAGGGCGTTGAATATGAATTTTGGCCTGATATTCACACTAGTTTTCTACATTTAATTATATATTTTTATGCAAAAAGCAATAAAATATTTTTTTTAAGTTTCCGACAGATTCTTTAAATAATAAATTATATTTTATACTTCTTTTTTATTTTATGTCAAGCTATTTAGTCAGCCCCTTTAACTCGCCGCCTATTTTGTGCCAGCCCATTCTTGTGCTATGCGTATTTGCTCTTCGTCCATTTTGTGGTTCACTTCTAGGCTTCAGAACAGATTACTTTATTCTATAACTCCACACGCACAAAGCATCTTTTCTTCTTCATCTCAAAAGGCAGCTTGTTCAGCCGAATCTAGTCTTTCGCTATCTGAGTTTCTAAGAGCTTCTGATGAACTTTTACGCCATCTGACCGACAGATTTGAACTACTTCCTGAAGAAATTTCTCTTAGTAAAGATTATGACACTAACTTTTTTGATGGCGTTCTGACGATCAATTTCGGCAGGGGAATAGGAATTTATGTTATCAATAGGCAAACGCCCAATCGCCAAATCTGGTTATCATCACCAAAAAGTGGTCCTAAACGCTTTGACTATTGCACTGATTCAAAAAATTGGATATGCAAGCGGGATTTTATCAAGCTATCGCAGCTACTTGAAGATGAAATTTTTCAAATAGTAGGATCGCGTGTCTTTTTCGGTTCAAAATAGATTATGCGAAAGCATATAATTAAACTTTTATTTTTTGTAGGTACTCTTTTAAATTAAATTTTCGAGCATTTAACTTTTGCTACATTTTTAATCATTCGTGGTTATAAGGTAATTGCAAGCACAACCTATGCTACTCATTTTGGTACCTCATATACAGTTGCTTAGTTTACTTAGGTTGCTATATGCATTAAAAAATGTTGAAAACCTTTACATTTGACCTTAACGTCTTTGGAATATTCGAGCCTGTAGCTCAGTTCCTCTAGCATAACAGCATAATTTGTTTGGGTACCTAAATTCACCGATTCTCTATATTAATACTATCTCCCGTAACGATTAGGCTAAGAGGCTCTTTATATCATCGTTAAATTCGGATATATTTTATTAGGACAAAGAGATTTTATGTTATGAAAGAAAACAATATGT